ATTTGGGGTCACAAGTTTTTGCCATGAATATTTTGTGGGTCAGAGGACAAAAAGTTTGGGAACCACCGCATTATACTGCTAAAATCATGTCCATGTCAAAAGGAGAAACATGCAAACAGCGTTGATTTAAATATGTCTGCTCACCCTTCCATTTTTTCTGCACCTGCTGGCCGACAGAAGAGGAAAGTTTCTCTCAGTGCTTCTCTTCTTACCCTGAAAACAAGCAATCAGAATTAAAAATGAGATTTAAACAACTAAAACCAACTAAAAAAATAAACATTTATTACTGTAAGCGAGCTGCGGTTCTGCACAGAAGAAAAAAGATAAATGGCGCCATCTAGTGGGGATTCATTGTCGTACATATTTAAAAGTGCGTAATTTAATTAATCTGATTGCGTATTTACAGATGGGGGGGAAAATAATGGCACACCGTGAGCTCTYATTTAAATTCACAACATAAAAATGTTCCTCCTAGAAGATGCATACAGGTGACAGCTATGAAGCGCACCACCTGAATCAAATAAAACAATAATTAACCTTGATCCCTGTCTGTCTAAATAATTATGAATTTTCACAATCCTCATAGACATATCCTGTCTCACTGTGGACGTACAGATGAACAGAGCGGTCCATTTTATCGTCACGCAGGACCTCGTGGCGCAACGGTAGCGCGTCTGACTCCAGATCAGAAGGTTGCGTGTTCAAATCACGTCGGGGTCAATTTGTTTTCTTCTATTCAAAGAACTGTAATAGTTAAACTGTCTGATTCAGTTATACGATTTGTATTGTGAGTTTTACTAATAACTTGTGAATTATTAAACCTGTTAATGCAAGTAAAAAGAAAMCCCTTATAATAAAAAATAAAGCCCCTTATAATAAAAACCCTATAATAAAATAAAACCTCTTATAACATATATGCCATATTGCATGTGTTTTCTCAACAGAAATTTATTTTATATTCTTTTAAATTTGTTTTCTTGGTTGTTTTACATTTTTAGAACAAAAGCATTTTTGTAAAAAGAAATGAAATTACACTAAACAAACACAAACTAACACAGAAAAATCCCATTTGCACAATTTTGATTTAATTCTATTTTTAAGTTGTCATCATTTAAGTAAGCTTTATTTGTATGGCACCTTTCACAGACAAACATCACAAAATTCTTCAGAGATTAAAATAATAAAAAACAATAAAAGCAGACATCATTTAATGTTTTTGCTTTAACAGTTTTAATATCTAATTGCTATTTTAGTTATTTTTTTCTTTGTGTGGTTCTGTTAAGAATCTGCAAGGCAGGAGACAAGAAAAATAGTTTTTCCTTTTTTTTCTTTTAAAAATACAGTTGAGATAATGCTGCAATCTTTTTAAAGTGTCCTACTCTTTTTTTAACCACACATCTAATCAGTTTTATACCCAGGCATGCATTTAAACCATCAGACTGAATAGATTTGGTGTGTTTATAGAGCTTCTAGAATGACATTTAACAACAAAAACAAGATTGCTGTAAAATTTTAATGTATTTTGGTGTTATTAAACATTTGTCAATTATCTCTACCAGTACTGTACCTGTTGCTCCAGCTGCCGATCCCTGCAGAAGAAAACATAGAAATCAGGTCACTTTTCCAGTCTTAAAAAGTCCTTCAGTCCTGCTCACTTCAGCTTGGGTTGTTCTGCTTGTTCCCATTTAGTGTTCTCACTCTTATTTCTCCCCCTCCTCTCACATGCTTCTTTCAGCCCAAGTGACCCAGCACAATATGACTTGCAAGTCCCCCTTCTCCCTCCTTTCTCCTCTCATGCTTGAGTCTCATCTTTCACTGTGAACGCCGTGCTCTGAATGCACAATTCATTAGAGCAGCTCTGCGAAGAGTGAAACTTGGCTGAGAYGGCGGGTCACCTCCAGTCCTGAGGAGCCGACTCACATGAGACAGTCCTTCGCTGCACTCATTTTTCCTGTGACAATGGGCTGATTGTACTCAGGGAGGTCTCATTTTACATTAAAAAGGTCAGTTGATGCTGACGTAAAGATTTGCTCCTTGTACTTCTGAGTAAAATGCTATGTTTTGAGGGTGTTTTTTTTTTTGTTTATTTTTTCTCTCCAATATGAAGAAAAGTGCATCGTTACACATCGAGTTCATTTCTGAAATGCAGCCACAATCTTTGCAAAACGTACTTTTGTTATTCCATTCACTGGTTTAAAATGTCAGCCAACTGCAAATGTCCCTAAGCATTTACCACTGGGTGGGTTGGGACACCAGGACAGCCAGAAAGGAGCCTGCTTTAGGCTGTTTGTTCAAGAGTTTTATTACCCTACAAGACCTCAAATCAAATGGGTGTAGCAAAATGTCCAAGTAACAAAGTTACCCTGTATTAAACAGTTTTAGGTTTTAATAATATATCTCAGTCTACATGGCTTTCTGGTTGCCTTATAGGTGCCAAAAGCCTAAAACATTTAAAGGTTTTGGCTTGATGTCTCTCGAAGAGCTTTTAGAAGTAACAAATAATAGATGAAGTGAAAAGCAAGAAGTGGAATCGGAGCAGGTGTGTGCAGACGTTARCACCTGGCCGACATTCAAGTATAGATGGACTGACAATTAAATGTTACATATCTGACTAGTACTACAAAAGCAATCTTAAAAGGTAGAACATCACCATTTATTGTATTTAAAAAAAGACAAAAACAAAAACCAAAGACAGCTGTAAGGATTTCTAACCATCGATCTATACCCTCAGTGTTCAAAGCAAGTTCATGATTGCCTTGTTTACATTAAAGGGTAAAAATGAAGGCCTAAAAAATACAAACATTCAAAAAGTCTGGTTTTAACCATTTAAAAAATAGAAAAATTTGGACAAAGCTTGGCCTTGGCCTCATCGAGTATTGAATCCTCTGAAGTTTTGCTCCTCTGAATCACCCAGCTTACTTTTGCTCCCGATGCGTTTGAAGAAGGATATAAACCTGCCCTCTGCTTGACTCCCCACCTTGCTGTGGGCTCSTTCTTCTTTCATACTTGCAGTCCTTGAGCCAGAGGAGTTAGACCTTTGAGAGTGGCTCCTCTGGAACAAATACTCCAGTCGAAAGCCAGTTGCAGATTGTGATGTTTCATCCACAGAACCGGACCGGAAGGGTGGACGCTTCGACAYAGCTCTCTGACGAAGACACTCGGGAAGAGATGCAGATCCTCCAGATGGAGATGTCAGAGTCTCTCGACTGCAGGCGTTGAGCAGAGAGCTGTTCTCATCAGTCTCCCAGACTCCATCTTCACTGGAGGTTGAGGAGGTTTTGCACGAACGGGGCTGTCTGTTTCGGGAGGAAGTGACTGGGCTGAGAATGGTCCAYGGGGAGCCAATGTTCCCATCAATGGAGAAGTAGTAATCTCTACTTCGAGGGGTACTTGGGGTGCGAGGACTGCTTGAAGAACTGTCGCCATCTGGGAAGGTTTTGCCATTTTGGTATTGAAGCACGTTCCGAGTTATCGTACGCATTTTCTCAACTTCTTTGTTATCCATTTGCTTGTCTTCCCATAGTAGTTTTGGATGTTTCTCAGGACGCCCTCGACTTGTGCAGGAGGTTGTCGTCGCTGGTTTTTGAGGATGACAATCAGGAACTGCTCCTTCGACAGAGGGTTGAATGGTCTTCTTGCTTCTGATGAAACCATCTGGAGCTTTGGTAAGGAGGCAGTGCAGGGCCGACTCCAAACACAAGGGGTCATYGTTTGGCTCAGGACCCGAAGACGACGCTGTGGAGCGACGTTTAGCTGCTGTGCGCATGCTCTCCTGTTGCTTTCGCCTCCGTTCAGCTGCCTCTCGCTCTCGGTTCTCCTGCAGCATCGGAAAGAACGAGTATAGTAAGTATCAATGTGACGCTGCAGAACAAAAACAAGATAGTGCTTCCAATTTCGTCARCAATGATATAGTGTTGATAACTGATCTTACCTGCACAGCTGTGTCAAACCTCTTACAGAAAGAGTGGAAGATGGAGCAGCACTCCTCTAGTTTGAAGGTAGCTGGGTCTTCACAGAAGTACTCTGCAACAGCACAGCTCAGATTCTTCAGCTCCTGAAGAGATGTCTCCACATGGGCAAGCTTGGCCTCGGCCCTCTGATACAAAGATTGTAAAGAAAAGAGTTTGAATTTTGCAATAATAATAAAAAAATGATTATAAAGGTTAGTTTTTCACCTTTAGAAATTGCTCTATTTGTTGTAAGAGACCAGCCTGTTTGCTACTGAACAGCTTCACTTCTTTCAGCTTCTGAACTTCCTGCTCAAAGTCTGTGATTATATCCTCTTTACAGATTCTGTGGAAATAAAGGCTAAAATGTAAATCCAACATTTCTTTGAAAAATAATRAGATAAATCTTTTTTAGACTTATAGATCAACATTTTAAGTACTTGAACCATTTATAATAAAGTAATCACCTTGATGCCTTCCCAATGTGATGAAGCTGGTTGGGAAACATCAGCAGCTCTGTGTCGATTTCTTCTGCTTGCTGTGAATAAAAGAAGGTGAGCAACAGAAACAGCTGAAGAATACACGAATGAAATAGACAATTAGGAATGTATTATCATCATAAATTAAGAGTTTTATAAAATAAAGAAAATGAATGTACTGCAAAAATACACTGAATGCTGAGAGCTTTGCTGAAAGTGGCTGAAGAAACTAAAATTACAGAATAATAAAATATAAAATAGTCTGTTTCTGTTTTATAATTAACATTTTTAAAGCAAATGTGTGAACAAAATAAAAACAGATTCATGTTTTCACAAAATGTTTTCTCTCTGCAGTGCACCTTACTTTGGCAACATAGTGCATGAGGTTCATGCCAGGCTTGTTGGCTTTGGTGTCGGCCAGCTTGAGAAGAGAAGTCATCCGAAAGCCGATTGCATTAGCACTGTGACCACCCTGAGGAGGATAGCATTTGAAATATTTAACTATCTGTTTAACAATGGCCGAAATAAAATAAAATAAAATGAAAAATCACAAAGGTCACCAAAACAAAATAAAAATACTAACAGCATTCATATAATTTCCAGCTTTTAGGACCAGTCGAATCACTGAATGGAGGTCATCACAGTCCAGCAGTTCTAYAGGAGAAAACAAGAAGTATGGGACCTTAAAAGTCCAGATCTTTCTGAGGTTCAGTGGAAGTGCTGTATAATGACTTAATCTTWTATCTTGAACAACCTCAGTTTAGAAAACAAATAGTTTAATTCTGACTGAATTGAGRAGCTTACAGCTAGTCCAAGTGCGGCCAATAACTCAAAAACTCAAGAGTGTTTTATGTAAACAGTATTTTATTAACTTTACAACACCATGTTTCAGATAATATGGTCATGGTTTTCATGTTGTTTTTTTCATGTAAACTGTTTAAGAACCACTTCTCATATGACCTGGCCATGCTTGCAAATAACCATTGATTTCAATATAAATAATAGTGTAATGCAAAGTGTACAGTGATAATAGATTTCGCATAAGCTGCTATGATTTAGTTTAAACTGTAGTTGTTTTAAGGCACAGCAATCCATTTTGATGGATTAGATGTAAGCTTATCAATCCAGTCAGAAATAAACTTTTTCACCAAACTGATACTGTTAAATACATAAATMAATGAAGTTCAACAGATATTTGTACACAACCCTTTACAATTTTGTATAAGTGTTTGAAACAGGTCTTGTTAACAGCTGGAAGGGTGAGAGTAAATATGGTACCATTAGCTGCTTTGGTCATGATGGTAATAGCATTCTTCACTTCCTCCATAAGAGGAAAGAATTCCTCCCTCAGAACCATGGCTTTTAGTCGTTCCTCATARCTGAAAGAGTAAGAAAAAATATTATAATACTGCACAGGTTAGAGTAATATCCTCATTAAATGTGGGAAATCTAAGAATTCTAAAGAAATTGTTTTGAGAGCATCAACTTTCATGAGGTAATATCTAAATATAMTCATAAAAACAAGTTTTTGCCATCTTGAACATTTTGTTACTTGAATAACTTTAGGGAGAACACCAAAAGACAACCCAACACTGCACAAAGATTTCAAAACAGAAGGCTCACCCCGGCACTTTGACGAGTTTCACCATAAACTGGTCAGCTTCAGGCAATGTGGAGAGGTTGCCCCTGAACGACAGCAGCTTCTTCAGCTAGAGATTGACAAAAAACAACTTAAACAGCAGCTGTGGGTTCTTCCTAATGCAAATATAAGACTGAACCCTGAATACTAGTGCTCTCTGAGCTTTACTTAGCAGTCAGGTCAGTCAGGAGTGGGTAAATAAACACTTATGCATCCTGATTGTCTGTGTATAAGCTGGCATGAAGTTTGAGAAAACCCAAGCACAGCATTGTTTTTTTAACTGTTATCCCCTCTGCACAGTTTTTTCCTGGTATGAGCTCTAAAATGCATCTAATGGTAAACAATCATAAAGTGTTCTGGTTCCCTGACTCACTCCTTTCAGCTAAAAGTGCATCTTTGCAGCAAATACAAATAAATTATAAAATACTTTGTGTTCAAATTTGTAAATCACTCAAATCTAACTTTAATGGTCTAAAAAGTATTTGCTGTTTTGCTAAATTGGCTGTTAGGTTCCTTTAGAGGAAATCTGGTGTAACTATCAAATACTCACAGAGAAGTCAATGGGATTTTAGTGAAATTTGAACATTACTGTTTTTTTAATATTCCAATACATCTAAAATGATAATTAGTCTTACGCTGTATGAAAATCTAAACTCAGAGAAGAACTGAGCAAATGTTACCTGACTTTCCTCAGGCAGCAGTTTACAAAGCTCTTTTAGCTTTCCTGCTCCAAAGCGAAGCCAGTTCCCCTCATGAATGTCATCTATTATTTGTGTCACGGGCCTGCAGAGGGAGACAGAATGCTTGTGCTGTAATAATGGGCATTACTTGTCAAACACATATCTCATTAAACAAATCATTAGGAGTTTTGAGGAAGTTCTCACTTCAAGTTGATGCTATTGTGGCGATTTAAACATGGTAGCCTACAGTACACATAAACCTGAAGAGAGGCAGACATGTAAAACTAATTTAATGTATTTCTGTCCAGCACGTAATAAATTGCATTCAAATACCATTCTAAAGCTGCTAGCAGACRGCAGCTGTCCGAGTTTATTTTTTATCCAAGATAAGCAGACTATTCCWGTATAGGGTTGAGGAGCAATGAGAGTGAATTTGGTATTCAAAGTAAGAGGTGAGAGGATATTTTGAATGTAACTTTATCGTGATAAAAAGGTGACGCGGGCTGTCTCAAATGCTCCAAAACCTCTTCAACAACAATTGAAATGGGGAGGTGGGGTGGAAAACCACACATTTATCACTTTGCTTCAAACTCATCGAGTACATCCTCCTGCACCAAAACTCTGCTCTATTATAATGCCTTTATTCACAATTTAAGTAACAATAAAGTGAGGTATTCATTTGCATTTTTATCTGAGATACAGTAAAAAGCATTCTGCTGGATGAAGATTAACACAGTGGAAGTGAGGCATCAAAAACCTGCATCATAAACACATCCAGTTCTGATCTCCATTCTCTCTAGTCACATCATTTAGTTTATATTCTGTTCTACACTGTTTATGCTCAAGTTCTTTTAAGGTATCAATCCAATCTATTTTTTTTTTAATTCTATTATTTCAATACCTCTTGAAATGTCTCAGGAAGATCCCAATGTTCATGCTTCTCTTTGGGTCTAGAATTGTGACCTGAAGAACAAAATAAACAAGAGGCGTCAAATTAAAGAAAGGTGTAACATCAGTGCACATGATGGTTTATGGTTAATGGGGATGGACATACAACCCATATGAGTGGGGTTCTCCTAAGTGGGCCCATTGCTCTCCCCAAAAACACACTGGTCTTTATTCGAACCTTCACATCCCTCAGATGACGGACACAAGATTAGAATCACAGTGTTCTGAGCTTCTCAGGATCCATAAAGGGGTMCCCAAGAATTCTATTCCTTTGACCACTCAGAGCCAGACAGTGGCCTAAGTAGTGCAAAGAGGTCTGTAGTTCAATGCCACAGGCATCACACAGACCATTGTCATGAAGTCCCATCACTATTTTGTGGCGGWTGACCAGATTGTGCCCAGTTAGGACTCCAACCAGTGTACTTAAAGTTTTCCTTGTCAGGGAAATGAGAGTTTTCCCAAACCTTAGATTTGGGCCGTTAATCAGTTCCCCTGCCTGTCCACAGTYCGTCAGCTCCCTCCAGTGGATTGAGTGTGGACGTCTAATCCAGGCCTGTAGAGCAGTCCTACAGACTGTTGTTGAGATACCTACAACAGGCTCTGGTCCTTTGAAGTGAGCCTGACTGCCAGCTTTTGTGATGTTGTCAGCTCTCTCGTTACCATAAATGCCAGTATGTCCTGGTACCATTTAACAGTAACACTGTTATCTCTCCCCAGTTGGTTGACTGCATCGGGACACTCCCAAGCCAGTAATGACGTAAAGTGTGGCCCTCGGAGAGTTTTAAAGGGATCCCCGATTAGTTGTAACATTGGACTTTATTTGATAAACATATATTTTAACTGTAAAATAAAGACTGTAAAAATACTGTAGGCTGTTTAGTTTTGTAAATTTTTAGAAAAATATTTTAACACGGACAGAGCCATTTTATTTACACGCAAAGCATTCTGGGTAAATGATGACATGGATTGGTCTAGGGCTGCAACAATGAATTGATAAATCAATAAAAATCGATTATTAAAAGCGTTGGAAACAAATTTCATTATCAATTCGTTGTGCCGCGCGATTTATGCGTCCCTCGCCGTGTGCAGAGCCGTTTACGTCACCCGCAGATCGTTGTCAATGCTGGCTGACCTAAACAAAGTTTAGGAAGAAAATAAAGCCGGGGGCGGGGCTGGCTCTCCGTCCTCCCTGGTGCTGCTTGATCTCCTGAGGTTTGGCTCTTGGTTCCTGTGGGTGGCCCGCTGGCCGGGGTGGCTGCTGGGTTCTGGGGGGGTGGACGGCTGGAGGGGTGCACTTGGTCGCTGGCGGTGTGGTGGTCATGGGTGTGGCTTCTCTGCGTCGGGGGGCTGGCCGGGCATCCTGGTGCGGCCCGGGCCGGGCCTTGGCTACCTGCTCCTCTCCACCTCAGAATGATTGGGTCTACCTCCTGGGTTCAGGTGTGTGCGGCCTCCATTAGGGGGTGGGTACATATCCTGGTGTGTGCGGCCTCCATTAGGGGGTGGGTACATATCCTAGACCTGGAGGGTATAGAGTGTGTATCGGTGGTATGAGTGGAATGTGGCGTCCTTGTATGTCTTTGACTGAGTTGGGGTGAGGATGAGGGTGGGATGGTGTGATTGTGTATGTTTGGGTATTTGTCAGGCTGCGGTCTGGGCTGCCCCTACTGCTGGTTTATCTGGGGGCCCGCTGCTACTCGGCCCCCCGGTGGGGTGTGCGGCTGGCCGCTAGAGTGCTGGGGGTTCCCGGGGTCTTGGGCTGGGCGCTGGGGTGTGTGCCGGCCTGGCCTGGTGACTGCCTGTTGGGGCTCGGGGCCTCTGGGCCTGTCGGGCTTTGGCCTGGAAGGGGTGCGCCGGGGGGCCCGGACC